ATATTATATATATATTATATTATATATATATGGAGCCCTAGAGGATTAATGATTGTGACGAACAAACGTCTTTTATTATGTATTTAATTAAACAATAGTTCTGTGATATTACCTCCACTTCTAATGGACCACGGATCTCTAAAAGCCTCATTTGACACTCGTCACTCAAGGATGCTAATTTGACAACATGGCTGAGCTCAGGGAGCACACAAACCGGCCTTCAACTTCCAAATGAAACGAAATTGTACATTCTAACCAGTGGAAGTGACAGTAGTAATATTATTATTATTAATTCATTATTTCTTTCTTCAACAAAATATCGTCCTCTGGGGAAAAATCCTTCGCGTTTGATTTCTTCTTCGTCCCTCCGAACAGATACCGCGGCTCCAGAGGAAAGGCCTTCGGCCGCTGAGTTGGCATTTGACGAGGTCGGCGTAGACGCACCCTCACAACGTGTTCGGCCATTTTAAAACAAAAGGTGTGCTTTGAAACCTGTGCGTCAGATGTGCATTTTGGCCTTTTTAGTGTTGATTATCATACTCATATTCACAGCTTTTTAGATTTTTTGAAAATTAATAAAATATACATATGTAACTCCCAGTTCCCATCGTTAAAACCTTATAATTCCAAAATGTCATTTGACCGCAAAGCATTTCATCTAGACACAATGAATCATTGACCGGGGTTAAGAGGATTAATGAAGCAATATAAAGAGGGCGGGGCTGCATTGCAAAAGATGGAATTGTTGTAATGTAAATGTCGTACTTGTAAGGATTCAGTCACACCAGAGTTCCACTAACATCTCATAACCTCAGTGACCTAATCTCACTGTTCTCTTCCCTCTATTATTCTATAATTGTCTTCTGTTATCTCCAACCATGTTCACATTGACTGTGACAGTAATTACATAAACTGGCCATTGCTCTGAATTTTGTCTTCATTATACTGATTCAGTTGAGGTCGACTATGGAAAGGGGAAAATATGGAGGAAGCACTAATTAATATCTGTTTTAAAGTCCTTGCAGCTGTTGCCAGGAATGAATTGACATTGTCTTTTTTGCAGATATGTAACATTTGCAGCGTGTTGTAGTGACAATTCAAGTGGTAAAGTCTTCTGCCTTTTGGGCCACAGCAATATTTTTCATTAACATTTGATAATGACACTGGTGATTAGTTGTCAGCATTTTGAACACGCAAATATGCAAAGCCATCTGCAGACATCTCCACTTGTCAAAGGATAAGACGTCTTTACGGGAAAAGATTATCTGGGTCTCTCTCTTTCTGTTTATTTATTTTCTTTTATATCAAACGTGGGGAGCGTCTGATCTAAAAAATTGAGGATTAGCATAAAAATTAGGGACAAGTCAATTTGGCACAGCGCCTCGCTGTCCCTTTGTGTAGCGGGGGCCGGTGTCGGGCTGGAATGAGCCGTCTGAGGATTGTTTGTTGTGCGGACAAAAGAAGCAGACGGGACGGTGAGCGGTTAGCAAGGTCGGCCCTCTGATTTTTTTCGATTTTTTTTATATAGGTTGAACTTGTTCTGATTAAAGCCCTCCCAGCAGGAGGAAGTGCATGACATATATGTCTCAGACAGTGACCCTTCACTCACAACTCCTTACAACAGATTTTAGGGTTTAAGTTGATCTCAGACGGTACATGAGCTGCAGGAAGGTCAGTCGTGATTGCTTTTTGCACAGAGAAGTCGGCGCTCCGCCTTCTTCTTATGCACATTCTTTGCTGCAGCATTTTAACTTTTTCTGTTTAAGTTTTAGGAAAAAGTACACTGTTGATGATGATCAGCAGCAGCTCTACAGCTCTCTGTAGGAGAGGTAGACAAAATATCATGAACAATTGTACGAGGTAATGCAGTGCAATAAAAACTAGCTTTCTGAGGCAGGTGAGGCTCAGTTTGGTTGCAGTGTCATTTTATGCCGTCAAGCTTTGGACGTAGTTCAAACAAAGGCTTCGTGTTATTGGCAGATGGAGGAGACAACAGGAGCACCTGTGCATTGTGCTATTTACTAGTCTTGCTTGAAATCTTTTGTTACAAAGAGACCTTATTTTTTTTTTTAGCTTACACTCTACCGTGACAAATTTTTTGATTTTATTGGAAGGGAAATGTATTCTGGGTAATGTTTTTAAAATGACATCAGTACGATACCACGGCAAAAACCTAAAAGATCAGGAAAACTAATGCAAGAATAGATGACAGGACACATGGAACCACAATTCTTCTTTTTCCATTTAATAAGACAAAAGATATTGGCAAGGTGTGAGAAGAAGCCATAAAACAGGAGTGAATTATTGTACTATCGTGTGTTCCTACTTTTTTAATATCCATCCAGGACTGGTGAAATTTAGATCGGCTACACATGACTGCTTCTAACGGGTTAAATCCATAGATGGTAAGTGTAGCTCAAAACAACCGAACTCGGAATAAGACATTTTTAGGCGACCGGAATGGTAACTTTCATGACCTAAAAACTAACTGGTACTATGACAAATCTATGACAAAGTTTCTTGACAAAATTATCTTTTAACTTGACAAACGTCACGTGTTGATTCATGGCACAAAACAGGATAAAACCAAGACGAGGTCCCATGGAGGACCATCGATATTGCTCTAGTATCGGTGTACAGTGCTGGGTGAAATGTTTTGCACACGCTCCATTGGATTTGTGTGCAGCTGTTTTCAGAGATCAACACACGTCGGTGATGAGTTGGAGTCTGCTCTGAGCTCTCTGACACTTCTCCATTTCAGTGTTTTCCATCTCCACATGAGAACAGAGGGTTGAACGTGATGTCGAGGACAGAGGTGGTGTACATTAAACCGACTGGAGAGTCACTTTCTCTTTTGGGTTTTCTATTGCCCTTTACATGTACATGACATTCTAATCGATGTATTGAGAGATCTCTCACGCTGCTGCCTTGCACCACTTTTATTTTCACTAAACGGTTTTTCAAACAGCTTCTACAATATCTGACGATCTGAGTCCAGCGTTTAAATGGAGAATTTTATTTTTTTGTTGTATGAAGCGGATGTATATATTGATATGATGTGACCAAAGAGTCTCTGTCACCATGGGAACGAATCATCACCAGCCGCTTCCTTCAGAATGTATTCATGTTATAAAGAGAATCAAATCCATCAAAATCTGATTTCCTCCAAAACAACTTGTGACCCCAACGCGGGGTTTTGCCTCATGATGTCCGCTGTTGATTGTGAAGCTTGATAAGTTTTTGTGAAAGTTGAAAAACATCCGAGAAGTGTTGCTTTTGATCAAACTTCACGCGTTGAAGTTACCAGAAACCCGCTAATTGTTTGCTCAGAGCAGTTCAAAAGTGTCAAACATGTGCATAAGCTGTTTTTATTCCTCCCTGCTTCACTGGCCAGAGGCAAACTGACTACCGGTTGTTATGTCAGAGTCCCTCATGGGTGTCGCCATGAGAATTTACAGGAAATCCACCAATGAGTGTGTCGGTGTCCCCACAGAGCCCACCGGCTCGCGCTCTGAGGCGACACAAAGGCCACTTTTATCTAAGTAGAACACATACCTTAACTTGTGTTTAGTCTGCAGTGTGCCACAAAGTTAGTCTTTGAATCTTTGCTTCAAAGTTGAAGTTTTTTTGTTTTCAGAAAAGACTTTCTTTTTCTTTTTTTTTTACAGTGTGGAACCGTGCGTGTGTTTTATTACATCTATTGTTAGGTAATGCAGCCACAATGAGACGTTTCGCTTCTCTAAATCTGTACTCTATATGAAGGGTTGCAGCATCGTGAAAATATTTTTCTTCATATCCTGTCTGTCCTTTCAAAGTGTTGTCTACATGTCAAAGGACGTTTGAATGCTGAGTAAGATTTCAAAAAGTCATTTGCTCGCCGGAGAAAGTGGTCTTGATTGCGTGAACCGCTCTGGTATACATATTACATATTTTGTAATAAATTTATATATATATATACATACACAGGGTGTGTTGTAGGCCGATACTGATGTTGATATTTGAAAATTAAAAAACACAATAATTACAAAAATAATATAATAATAAAAATAGTGTATTTCTTGTCACCTGTGGCAATATATGTGACCCAACCGGTTTGATTGGCCTCTTCTCTTCTCTACTGTATTCATTAAATACTTAGTACTAAATCACATCACTGCATTAACAGTTTCTTCCTCCAGTCTTGAGCTATTTGTTATTTGGTACGGTTAACAAGCCGAATGACAAGAGTACTCCATCCAAGAGATCACCTAATACATTAAATGAAGCATCCATTAGATGGTAATTAAGTTTGAATATCACCGTGATATTTACTCTGTGGAACTTGTTAGCACGGGATATCCTCTCAGCTTTCATTTCAGTAGCTCATAAAGCCATGAGATATAGTTAAAGTGAACCCACTCATAGAGCTACTGTAGGTTTACAGGAGATGCTCAGCTTGGAAAGGTTTACACAGCAGTGACTGTCTGTCGTGACATTTGACCGGCTTTTCTCCCTCTCCCGTTTAGTTTCAAAGAGATGACAGAAGAAGCTCACCCTCTCTGTCTTTGATGAATTACGCTTTCGCTCATCGGTGAACCTTCCTCTCATCACATTTTGAGGCACTAATTGTTCAGCCCGTTGGATGTTTTTGAGCTTTAAGATGGGGGAGAAAAAAAAAGGCCAGCTCTCAAACGGTTCACCTATCCTCTGCATTTGTTTCTTCGCTTTCATACAGAGACATAATCCGTCTATTGTTCCTCATCTGAATTTCTCTTCCCGTGGGAATTCTCCTCAGAGCAGCAGAAGCCAATTTGGGTCTGCCTCTTTACACTTAAAAACAAGTATATCTCCAAAGAGCTCCAATCCCTCCCATCCCTCTCTAAACCCAATGAAGTCACAAATCACTCCTCTATGCGTATCATGCTAATTAAGAGCAGGGCTCAGCTGCTCTTCTCCAGCAGAAGCTGGAATAAAACGGCTCCGTAATTGCGTCAAAACAATGCGCACTCAACCTCCGCCGCAGCACATTTGGAGCGGGGTGTGTGGAGATAAAGCACGCGAACCAACAC